GAAACAGTGGAAACAGTGTCAGACTTTATTTTTTGGGGCTCCAAAATCACTGCAGATGGTGATTGCAGCCATGAAATTAAAAGACGCTTACTCCTTGGAAGGAAAGTTATGATCAACCTAGATAGCATATTAAAAAACAGACATTACTTTGCCAACAAAAATCCATCTAGTCAAGGCTATGGTTTTTCCAGTGGTCATGTATGGATGTGAGAGTTGGACTGTGAAGAAAGCCGAGCACTGAAGAATTGATGCTTTTGAACTGTGGTGTTGGAGAAGACTCTTGAGAGTCCCTTGGGCTGCAAGGAGATCCAACCAGTTCATCCTAAAGCAGATCAATCCTGGGTGTTCATTGGAAGGACTGATGTTGAAGCTAAAATTCCAATACTTTGGCCACCTGATGCAAAGAGTTGACTCATTGGAAAAGACGCTGATGCTGGGAGGGATTGGGGGCAGGAGGAGAAAGGGACGACAGAGGATGAGATGGTTGGATGGCATCACCGACTCGATGGCCATGTGTTTGAGTAAACTCTGGGAGTTTGTGTTGGACAGGGAGGCCTGGCATGCTGCGATTCATGGGGTCACAAAGTGTCGGACACGACTGAGCGACTGAACTGAACTGAACCCCACCATAGGATGGCGCACATTCTCAGGAGACCTGAGACCCCCTAGTTGACAGCCAGTGTTGAACCCCCAGTCTTGCAAATTCCAGTGTTCTTGCAAGAACAGCCATTCTTGCAAATATGAAGGTGCGTGAGTGCGTCAGCAAAATTGACAGAGGAGCCATCCAATCAACTCAGAACTGGCATAAGAAATCCTTGCTGTAAAGTCACTGGGTTTGGGGGCACACAAAGCAGATTGGAACAGTTGAGGAAGACTTCATGAAACTCAGTGTTTTAAAAAAGAAACAATAGTCCCAAAAGAGAGTCATTCATGCTAAGTCCACGTCACCAAATCAAGACTTAATACCTAATCTTAATTGCTGTCTCAACTCCCTTGGAATGTGACCTTTAACCAGTCAGCCTGGAATTACCTGTCAGCACTAATTAAAGCAATTTGGCCAATAGGTACTTTCTCTCCCCTTAGAAAGGTGATCCTGTCTGAAACTGCATTGTTTGTTAATAATTTTCTGTTTCTACCCCCTTTCTGCCTTTAAAAACTTTTCCTTTTCCATAACTCAAGGGAGCTCTTATCTGTTTAGTAGGTGGATGCTGCCTGATTCATGGGTTATTTAACAAGGCCAATTTTATGCTTACATTGACTCGGTTGAATTTTTGCTCTTTAAAAATGTTACAAAACTAAACTCATTTTTCTTGATTTTCATTGCCCCCTTTTCTAGTAACAGTGCCTTCATTTCTGTGTCCTCAAGTTTTGAAGCTTGAGGCAGGCTTTTCTTTCATTTTATCTCCCTTTAATGTGCAGAGCTACATCTCATCAATTCTTCCTTAATAATTTCCGTCTCTACTCTCCTTTCCCTTAACAGTTACCATGTTTATGCTAATTTAATAGCTAAAGCACAGCAATGATTCTTTGGCCTTCAGCAGTTCAATTTTTCCTGAATCCTCATGGAATTTTCATTTAGTAAAATATTGCTCTAATTATGCCTCTTTCCTCCAAAAAATCCTTAGATGGCTTCCTTTGCCGACATAACAATGTTCTTGCTCCTTTGATTTATTGACTGAATCACCTCTCTCCCAATTCTGGTTGCCATTTGTTGCCCTGGGCATAACCTGTCCTTCTTCCAAGTTAGCACTTTTCTCCAAAATCCCCACATCCAGCCATAACTCTAGTCATTATTTCTAGACCATTCCATAAGCATTTCTTCAATAGTTTTGCTCTTGATTTTTTTTCTCAAAGGAATCCCCACTGTCTAGACCTTGCTAATCCTCAAATTGCCAACTCAAAGCTATCTTTTATGTGAGACTTCATCGCTGACTTTTCTCAGATTCCTTAACTCCTTTAATATTTCGTCCAAGCCATTTAGCTAACACCCAAAAGGTGGCTCAGTGGTAAATAATCTGCGCAATGCAAGAGACTGCTTGCAATGCAGCAGACATGGGTTCAATCCCTTCTGGAGAAGGAAATGGCAAAGCACTCTAGTATTCTTGCTTGGGAAATACCACGAATAGAGGAGCCTGGTGGGCTACAATTTACAGGGTCGCAAAGAGTCGGACATGACTTAGCGACTAACCAACAACATGTAGTCATTTATTATAGTTAACATTTTTCATGTGTAATAAATGTTTCATCCACACACCTGAACTACAAGCTTCTGGAGATCAAGATCCATACCTCACACCTTGTATAAGGATAAAGCATCGTCAGTGAATAGTAACTGATGCTGAAGCAGTAAGATTTGCATAAGTGGGGAGAGAAAGGGCATTCTAGAGGAACAAGAGGGACAAGAAAATATGCACTGCTTGTTCCAGAGACTAGAAGATGATATCAAATAAAGGGTCAATTTAATTCCCTAACAACAGCAACGATAAAAGCAGTGCTCGAATATCCTTCTTTCATTTGCTTACTTTTCTCCAAGGCACACTGGGGCTCATTTTTTGCCTCAGGACTTCAACTCTTGTTGTGGAAAATATGATCACCAAAACAGAATCTTAAAATTACTTTGTTGTTTGCAAGAGATGTGTTACAGGAAGGAAAGAGGGGGAGTGTTCACTAACCATAGGCAAATTATCACCGAACCCCAGTTCGTTAACACATAAAATGACAGGATCTATTTATACCTGCCCCGCCCCCACCCCCCAGCCTCGCTTCCACAGAGTTGTGTTGTGGCTTAGCAGGAGGAAATGCCTCCCTAAATGAGCAGGGTGGTGGAAGAGAGGGCCCTGTAGTCAAAAGTTCTAAAGAGCTCTTTAAAAGGGGTGCTGTTGGCATAAATTTGAAAGTGTCACGCAGTTGGTCCAATAAAACACTCAGTAACCACTATTTCCATGAGCCCTTAAAGTCTCTAACAATCAATATGCAGTGGTGTCACCATTCAACAAATTCATTTATTCAACAAATATTCTCTGAGTGCTAACTATGAGATAAAACACTGTACTAGGGGAAACATGCCTCACAATAAAAAATATGAAAAATTTATATACAGAGAAGTCTTATGAGGTGGCTCAGTTGGTAAAAAATCTGCCTGTAATGTAGAAGAGACCTAAGTTCGATACCTGGGTCAGGAAGATCCCCTGGAGAAGGAAATGGCAGCCCACTCCAGTATTCTTGTCAGGAGAATTCCATGGATAGAGGAGCCTGGTGGCCTACTATCCATGCGGTCACAAAGAGTTGAACATGCAGAACAACTAACATTTTCACAGGCAAAAATATACCACCCAGGCAGCACAGTGGTAAAGAATCTGCCTGCCAATGCTAGGAAACACAGGAGACATGGTTTTGATTCCTGGGTTGGGAAGATGCCCTGGAGAAGCAAATGGCAACCCACTCCAGTATTCTTGCTTGGAAAATTCCAAGGACAGAGAATATGCTGTGGGAATACTGACCAATCAAAAGCTGGTTGGGCAATATTAATAGATAAATGCTTTCATGAAAAAAATATTGTGAGCAGTTCACTTTGTAATGTTGAAATGATCAACAGGAAGAGATCACAATTTTATTTCTGTGTCCTCTGAATAACAGCCTCAATATATAGAAAGCAAAAACAATTGGTAAAACTGTAATGCAAAATAAATAAATCCACAATCATAATAGTTTATTATGGAGAAGCTAATTTCTTTACCATCCCTTCTCCCCCTACATCGTTGCATTGTGTATTCCCCTCCTTTTTTCCCTGATATTATCTTCTAAAAGAGCTATTTTCAAGTTCTATTTAAAATAATTCCTATTATTCTTTTTTGTGCATATACTTGCCTGGGATTACAGTATTCATTTACCTACTTCTTAATTTCTCCTCTACTGAAACATATCCCATAAGGGCAGTGATAATGTTTCTCCTTCACCACGAAATCTTTGGTTCCCTGAACAGTTTCTGCCACATAAAAATGTTTGCTGAATAAATGAATAGCTAAACAATAGTTGATGGTTGTTGGCTACTTCTGTGTTCCAGAAACGTTTTTTTAAGAATTATTTACTTACGGCTGTGCTGGGTCTCAGCGGCTGCTCCTGTTTTTCTCTAGCTGCAGAGGGGGCTGCGTTCTTGTGGTGCGAGGGCTTCTCTTGTTGCAAAATACAGGCTTTAGGGCAAGGGGGCTTCAGTAGTTGCAGCTCCCAGGCTCTAGAGCACAGGCTTAGTAGTTGTGGCCCATACGCTTACTTGCTCCATGACATGTGGCATCTTCCTGGACCAGGGATCGAACCCGTGTCTCCTCTATTAGCAGGCAGATTCTTTACCACTGAGCCACCAGGGAGGTCCCTCCAGAAAGTTTAAATGCATTATTGAAATGCTCCCAACAATTCCTAATTTCATAGGAATCCTTGGTTTTTACAGCATAAGTAATTTACTCAAACATTAAGTGAGGAGTTAAAGATTTAAATCCGGGGCTATTGTCTCCTTGCAAGTCCTTAGCAGTTCATCAAACTTGAGAGTCCAATGAAAGTTCTTCTTACACAGGGACATGATATATTATTCATTTAATAAAAATACACTGTATTGCCTACTGTGTGTAATGTGCCAGCGAAGCAATGATGAAGCAGAAATGGACAGTGCTTGATTTCACAGGGCTTATTACCAGGGCAGGGGGCTTTCAAACAACTACTCGCCTAATTAATTATTTAGTTACAATTATTTTAACATCAGAAGGGGTAACTTAAAGTACTACACAATGCTGACCTAATGTGCGAATTCAGGGAAGGTTTCTTTGAGAAAATGCCAATTGTGTTGAAATTAATTCCTACTCATCTTTCAACTTAAATGTCTTGAGCACCCTAGACACAGGATGAGTAAAATAATTCATGGTAGACTTAATTTTAAAAGAAAACATTTATTAATTCTATATATTTCTTGTAGGGGTGAAAAAACTTCTAGGTTCTTGCGTTGGTCTAATAATTATTAAATAAGACAGAATAACAGGAGAAAAACACATTTAAATATATATGTACAAGAGCCCCTCAGAGACAATGACACTCATAATCAGTCAGGAAATTGAGGCTAATATAAGGCTGTGTCCTCTTCAGCTAAGGAGACACAGGTAGGGGCCTGGGACTTCAAAAAGAGGAAGACAAGTCACTGGAAGATGAGACGAGTTTAGCTTGCCAAACACAAGTCTTTCAGATAGAGAAGTCATCTCTGGTAATAACCCTCTGTCTGGGCCGGGCTCCCTATTTACAATGTTTCAGACAGCTATGAAAAAAAGTTTTCCTTCAATCTGCTGGGTCTTGATTGCCTTCAGCTTAGAATAATCCACATATGCCAAGAGATACCTTTTGGGGTGATGTATGCTGCTCCTCTTCACTCTAAAATACAGAGTTAAGATAACTATGACACTGTGATTAAATACTTGGTAATATCAAATTTCCTGTTAAAATTTAACTTTAGCTGTTCCAGAAATGTTCTCAAAGTTGATTTGTTAATGTAAGGGTCTAATTAGGATGCATACACTATGTTTGGTAGAATTGTGTCTTAAATCCTTTAAAATATATAACATTTTGCTGACTTTATTTACAGTATTTTTGTTGGAGAAATTGAGTCATTTGTTCTATAGAATTGTCCTTATTTTAGATTTTCCTGATTGCATCCCCATGATGTTATTTAACATGTTCCTTTGTCACCTGTATTTTCTCTAAAACTGGTAGTTATGTATAGAGATTTGATCAGATTCAGGTTCATTTTCTTTTGGCAGGAATACTTCACAGGTGTCATACACATCCTATGGTATCAAGTTGGGAGACATATAAGCCTAATTGTTTCTCCTTTTTTTTTTTTTATAATACATATTCAACTATTGATTGATTTTTTTCCCCATTTATTTTTATTAGTTGGAGGCTAATTACTTTACATCATTGCAGTGGTTTTTGTCATACATTGAAATGAATTAGCCATGGATTTACATGTATTCCCCATCCCGGTCCCCTCTCCCACCTCCCTCTCCACCCGATCCCTCTGGGTCTTCCCAGTGCA